CTAAAAATACAAAAATTAGGCTGGTGTGGTAGTGCCCACAACTACTCAGGAGGCTGAGGCAAGATAATCGCTTGCACCCAGGAGGCTGAGGCTACCGTGGGCTGAGATTGAGGCACTGCACTCCAGCCTGGGCAACAGAGTCAGACTGTATCTTAAAAAATAATTCCTCCATTTCATTTTTTCAAAATATTTTTTTTCCCTTTTATCTTCTCTTAGTAGAAAGTGCATTAAAGAAGCTGGATTCTTTGGGGATGATGATAAATCCCTTTGGACATTTTGAATTTAAGGTGGCAATAGAATTGACATGACACCAGCAGGAAGTTGGAGATGTGACACGTTAACTTAGCAACTGGGTCAAGACTGAAGATATAAATCAGGTAGACATATGTGTAAAGATGACAGCTTATGCCAGTAAATGGCATTTTCAAGTAAAAGAATGAAGACAGAGAATAAGAAAGGTTCATGGACTCTTTTCCTCACTTTAGGGGTATTAAAAGGAAGTAGAAAACAAAACAAAGAAAAATGATTTTAAGAAATTAGGAAATAATCAGTTTAATTCAATGAATTATTAAGGAAAACAAGAGAAGGGAGATTGTGATTAGCCAAATTCCAACTGGTTGGTTCATTTTTAGATTTGGAAAAGTTATATTACATTTAATTATTAATAACAGGTTGAATATCTCATACTGCATTATAAGGCAAAATCTGCTTTGATAGGAAATAAAAAATTTTCTGATTAGCTTAGTAATAGCTAACTGAAATTTTCTCAGATCTATAAATTTTTACTGTAAGAAAATCGAAATTTAAACCCAATATATTGTCATCATATTTGTTAAATTTTGTTTCAAATCAATTATTATAGGTATTCTTTACTTAATAGTAATTGCTCAGATATTTTTAATCTCATGAAGAAAAGTAAAGAAGAAGAGTTATTTTAAATAAAAAAAGATTACAACATATTTCTCTACACACCATCTTTTTATATATGAGGTCAGAAAAGCAAATTTTGATAAAAGCATTGATTTTATTGAGCTAAAGAATCCAACATCTGATATCTTTCTACATGAATTATTCATTTTGTTACAGAAGAAATAAAACCGAGATTGTTGGAACAGCACATTATTCCATTGCACTTGCATCTAGTTTTAAGGATTTGTTCCCTATAGCTTACAGTATATGACAGGTTTTATCTCCTTCCTGTCCCTTATGTTCACAAGAGTGCAATTTTATTCCCTAAAGCCTAAATAAGCCACATTGTTACATGACTTTTTTATATAACACATTTTTAAATTGACAAGCTATATCTAGATTTCTGAAGAAACTGTCAAAATTATTAAAATATAACAGGAGTTTCTTCCAAATGTGTTCATTCCAAAACATACATTAGGTATAAATTTCTGTTAATATAGTTAAATCTGAGAGAGATGGACCTGCATCCCTAGTCTCAAAGGGTTAAATAAAGACAAATAGGGTGGTTTTAAGTGTTTCATAATCCCTTAGTTTATCCTTCATGCTCTATAAGTTAATTGTTTTATTTCTAAAGATAGGCACATCATTCACTAATGGTGACCCATACATTATGAAAGTAGAAACAGATCTGAAAATAGTAATATGAGGAAAAGCATAAGTTATAATTTCACCCTGAGTAATTTATAATTTTATCACATGTAATAAAATATAGGTTGTTACAATCAGAAGACCAGTTTGTTTTTTTACTTTGTATTACTATTCAATAAATAATTTAATAAATTTTGTTTTCCCAGGTGATGAAATGAATAGATTAATAACCATATTATATGTGTTTTCCTTCTTACTGCTATATACTTTCAACTTAAAAATTAATTCAGAACAAATAGCATATCTCTCCTGTGTTGAAAATTACTCAACTCATTTGATGGCCGAGATTAGTTCTTATTTCTCTCTATTTGATAAATGATCAAGAGAACCACGATTGCCAAGAATAATACAACAGAATAATAAGACCATATGAAGAATTGTCAAAACTATTAATTCAACAGTCCAAGTCAAATTTAATGCTCGAAGGCAATTTCAAACGAAGTTAGCAGACACTTCAGGTTACAGACTAATTTTATCTCAGCTTCCTTAGCAGGACACCTATGAAAATACCAACTCAGGAAGTTACACACTGTTGGATACTTTAGGATATTGAGTTTCAACACTAATATCTAATACGTTGCATAAGCAGAAATAATTATATGAAATGTGTATGTTTATTTGCTGCTATCATATTATGCATCATTTTATATTATATTTTCAGTATTTTGTTAATTTAACTATGATATAACACTTAAAAGTTTCTCTGGCTATTTTTATTTTTCCTTAGATTTTATGGACACTGTAATTAAAATGTTAATTGAAATTTTAATACTAATGTTAGATTTTCATAGAATTTTCAATGAAGAAAACATACTAACTATACCCCTATGCGTAACTATATTAACTATACCCCTAATAGCTTAGTCCTGTGTAGCATACTACTGAAATTAAGTCATTTCAATATGAATGTACACACTGAGTTGGTCGATTGCTATAATTTCGGTTTCACTCATAAGCAGATGGCAGATAGTTCATTAGAAAAAGTGGAGAAGACAGCACAATGTTCTAAACTCTAATCAGGCAACAAAAATTTACCTTAATGTTTTACCACTTTTTATTACCTCTTACCAATATCTGTGATGAAACCATCACCTATTTCCAAAACATCTCATGGAAATAAATACACTTCTTTCACATATATAAAGCCCACAGAATTTCAACCCTGATTCTATTTCACAAATTTCTTCCTCTGCCTTAAACTAACTGATCCATTAATAGGGTAGATACACTCAAACTATATTTGTGTGTGTGGATTGAGAAAAACAATGATCTACATTTTTTTTAGTATTATCAGAAGTTTCATGTGTACCATTTTTAAGTTTCTATCTATCTGTACACTTTTCTGTTACCATTACTTTCTCTGGCACTGTACCACTTGAAGAATGTGAGGCAGTTGCAACAACTAAAGAATTAAATGGTATAAATACAACTTTTCAAACCCTTTGAACAGGAAAGAGAGGAAAAACCCAGTACAGATAACTATGTAACTTTGCCATTTATGGGTTTCCTTTAGATTCTTTGTTAAAAAGGAAATTATTAAATTTTCACATGCTCTGCAGAGCCTAGCCTTGGTTTATAAGATGAGAAGAAAATAAAATATTATTAACTGTTTCATTGCCAAGGGATAGTCATTATCTACCCGTGTATATTGGAAGAATTCTTAGTGCCCTCACTGAAGTTTCAATGCCTATGTCCAAGGTCATGAAATCACCAGCTTTATTCTGTGCCTGCAGTCATCATGTGGAGCAGTGAGCACAATTACAGAACATTTGTGCAGCCAGCTTTGCTCAAATCTCTTTCTCTCTTTTCTTAATATTAAACAAATTCTCTGACCTGCTGGATCATTTTATTCAGCCAGTATGTCTGAACAGCTGCCTTACAATTTTTAAGGTGATTATTTAAAATTGAAAATATCATTAAAAGTTATTCTGCTGTGGAATTTCTTTGAAGAAAGTGGATTATAGAGCAGCAGAGATGTATAAATTGGAATTCAAATCCTTGGGAAAGCATGTCTGCTTTTCTTACACTGAGGCGAATGCAAGTTTTAAGCAGCAATCCTGTCTGGGTCCCTCCTAGAGCCACGAAACAATTTATTTTCATTGGTCACAGCACCTTCCTGAAAAGACTGCCTGCTAACCAGAGTGTGGGGAATGATGCCCTGTAAAAAAAGCAGAAATGGCATCCTCTAGGGAGATTCTGCCAGCCACAGTGAGGACTTGTCCACATTCTGATCATAAAATTACACATGCAAGATGCTTTGGTTCTCTCTCACATCATAACGTCCTCCTCTTATTTTATCCTTCATCTTTTGTCATTGAATAAAAATAAACCTAGATGATTTTCACTTGATATAAAGCCACATATCACAGTTAAATATTAAGTAAATATCACGTGCTGAGTGCCTTGTGAAACTCCTGCAAGTAAGATCATAAATGTGTATTACCATTCTCTTCTTCGCTCTCCTCCCCAAATACATAGCTTGGCAAGGCAAAGATAATTCCTGAGGAATTTTCTTTTAAATATTTTTATTTTAGCTCTTTTGGTCTTTTAAGGCATGGGTTTTGAAATATCTGGGTTTTGAAAATATCAATGTATTTGCAGGGGCGTTCTGCTCTAATACAGGGTAAGTAAAAGAAGATTTTACCATTTTTATGTTTCAAAGTTTTAAATATGCAGAAGTACATTCAAGTTTGAAACTCTCCCAAGAGTCAGAGTTTGCCACTACCTTAAATGGATCACCTCATTTGACTTATTTGCTGTTAATTGTATTCTGATAGAATGATGGTTTTCAAGATCTAAAACCTGTGCTATTTCAGTGGTAAGGGCATCCATGTGGAAAATATAGTAGCAATAAAACATATATAGAGCAAAAAAAGTAAATGAACGAAGCAAGTATTTAGTTTTCCTAGCCCATTTTAGAATAAAGTGTTTCCTTTTTTCACTTCTATATCATAGTCTTCTAATAACAATTTCATTCAACCAAAACAACTGTTTAAATTATTGCACTGCTATTTAAAATCAATAAGGAAAATGTTTAGCAGGGTAATACACCAACTAAGTGATTTCAGAAATCTTTAAGATGGTTTTCTCTGAAAAATTTTCAAATTTTGCTTCAGAAATCTCCCATTGGTTAATGTTTTAGAGTGCGCTGCTTGGTCACTATAATAAGCAACATTTCATGTTAGTTTTGCTTAAGAAAAAGTACATATTTGTGACTCACCAAACATATTTTTGATGATAAAAACACAGAAATATAAATCCGGACACCTTCCAATTTACTTTCACTGAGGTGCATCTAAGCAAGCAGAACAGGATGTGACTCTGCCTTAGGAAGAGATTGTCAACACACTACTGACGACTCAGGCAAATTAGAGGTAAATTACCTTTGAGAGGTCCCCAGCCTCCAAATAGAAGCAGATAACAAACACATTCCACGTAACCCAGAGGACTAGCCAGACAGCATACTGTAGAGAAGCAAGAGAGAAATAACATATAATTAACTTGGAATCAGTTGAGTTTGATTTAAATAAAACTAAAACTTTTGCATACTCAAATTATAAGATTAGTGGGAAAGATTAGATATTGTTTCTTTCTAAGAACATAGTTATATATACGTTTATCTCTATTGAGTGTTTTTTTCCTTTTTATTTTTTGAGATATGAAGTCTTGCTCTGTTGCCCACGCTGAAGTGCAATGACACAATCTCGGCTCACTGCAACCTCTACCTCCTGGGTTCAAGCAATTCTCCTGCCTCAGTCTCCCAAGTACCTGGGACTACAGGTGCGTGCCACTGTGCCCAGATAATTTTTGTATTTTTAGTAGAGATGGGGTTTCACCATGTTGGCCAGGCTAGTCTCTAACTGCTGACCTCCATCCACCTTGGGCTCCCAATTACAGGCATGAGCCACCATGCCCAGCCCTAGTCCTATATTGTTTTAACAGGAAGAGATGATTATGTAACATAATCATTATAATAAAATGACAGCATGTAGTGAAAAGTCAAGTATTGTGTACTTTTAAACAGCTGATCATTCCATTCTTATATAAGCCATGGAGTTTGCTACTACTAATAAGCCTATTTTATATTTAAGTAAATTTAATTGTAATAAGTCATATTACTTGAAGATAACCAAAGAGCTTCTAAGTGACAGAGTCACAGGTTAGATTCTGCGTTCTTATTCTTTATATGCTATTTATTTGCGCGTAACCCATTGTCTTTACATATGCTTCCATAAGATTAATTTTGGTGACGAAAACATAAATTTTTCAGCTTGATTTTTTAACTAAAAGTATAATTTACATTTATACATACACATAAATGTAACTAAGTATAAATGAAGATTCCAAATTTTATATTTTCAATGTATAATATTGTAATGCCATATATACCACATGAATACAGATAAATACGTATAGCATTTAATAAGTGTAAAATATAATTTTAGTTACAAAACTAAAAAGCTTCAGCATTGACATTTTTAAATACTATATCAGAAAGAATGCTTGCCATTAAAAAAATTTCAGGAGAATTTGATATGTGTAATACAGTGTTTTCATTAGCTCATCAGCCATTAATGAAATCTTAGTATCCTGCTACTTTGACTTTTAGTAAGTAGTGTTTATTTAGCTCTCCATTTTAAATCATATGGGGAAAAAATGTCACTGCACAAAGGACATGATAAAACATTATAATCAGTCATGCTTTCTCCCTTATAATCACTTAAGTCAATGAAACAAACTTAAATGTCTCCTTAGGTCTCTGTTCTATAACTGAAGTTCCTCTCTTGCTACAGCCTGCTGAGCTCCCTGATTCTGTCTCTAGACCTAGCCCTCAACTCATAGAGCTTCTCAAATTACTTACTTTGTCTTGGAACATTTAGTTTGCCCAAACATTATACTCCATTGAGCAACACACACATTAAACAGTTAGATGAAACCATCTCCTTTAGAAAATAGTTGAGTCATCATTTATTGTTACTCCTCACATAGAGCTCTCACTGCTCATACTACATGAATGATCATAGAAATCTAATAAAAACCAGGTCTGGGAGGGAAGAGTCCGTTCTGAATCTGAAAGTAATAAGATTTTCTCCATATTGCCACTTATTCATTGACTTACAAAATATTGTCTTAATACCTATTTTGTCCAAAGTACTACGTTAGGAACCTAGGAATATAAACAAAAACTTGAAAGTAGTCTTTTATTGTGTGTTGTAGTAGCTTACTATTGTGCGTTGGAGAAAATATGCAAATAATCAGATATGAGACATTTTAGATGAAATTAGGAGAAAGAAAGTTTATTGCAGCACTAAGTAGGGCTCAGCCCTGTTGGGCATCATGCAGGAGGTGATATTTGAATTAACCTTTAAAAAAAAATGATAGGTGGTAAGAAGATTGCCTAGGGAAACGTAAAAGTATTCAAGAATAAAGGGATAATATACAAAAAGGAACAGAGGTGGGAAATAACTTTCCATGTACATGGAATAGCAAATAATATATGTGTCTGGACTCAAGGATGACTCTGGAGATCAACTGAAATACACGGATCAAAAGATAACAAGGTGCAAGATCACGACCATGATTATGGAGGATCTTGAAACATAAATTAAAGATGTTGGAACTCACCTATATAGGATGGGAACAATTGGCATTTGTTTAGAAGGGAAGTGACATGATATCCTCTTGTTCCACTTTTTAAAAATTCACACCGAAAAAAGTGTGCTGGTAGGTATTAGGAGGGAGGATCCAAGATGGTGGATTAGACACAACTCCAGCACACAACACCCAGCAAGAGAGACGCAGAAACCCAGAGATCTCCTAGCTAAAACCAAGGTACCAGGTGCATATCAATGGGTCTGGTCCGAGGGTGAGCAAGGCCCACTAGGGCAGACCAAGGCGGGAGGGGTGTTGCTTCACCTAGAAAGTGCATCTGACTGGCCATTCGGAGGCTCCACCTCTGGCGCTTCAGTCCAAATACAGCGCTTCCCCCAAAGCCTCAGCAATACACAGAACAGGGGATCTTTGCCAGTCAAGCACCTGCAATTACAAGTGCAGAGTTGAATAAGAGTCTGCAGACTGAGCTATTGCCACCACCCCCAACCCACCCAAAGAGAGAGGGGGCTGTAAACGGGAGCAGCTGGGCTGCCCCCAGAGAGAGAGAGAAAGCTGAAAGGGGGAGACTGCTGGCTGCAGCTGGGTGGGTCCCTAACCCCCCCACACACACACAAACCCCAGAGGGCTGCAGCTCTGACTCTAGTGGGTTGCGTAGCCAGTGCCACAGTCCGAGATGAACGCTGAATGATCCAGCCCAGTGGAGGAAGGGCACAACCCACCACTAGAGGGGTGGGACTGGGCTACATTTTTTAACAAAAAACACAGGAAGCTTACTTAGCAAGGGAATGGCGTTCTTGATAATCCAGCAGCACCTACAGGTCAGAGGAAGAGGAAGGCCTAATATCCTAGTATAAACAAAAAAGACACAGGAAGCTTCCCTAGTAACCTGAAGGAGTCCCTAGAAACCCAGTAGCACCCCCACAGGCAGACAAGCGACCTCCTCAAGCAGCTCTCTGACACCACAGACAGGTAAATCCACAAAGATGGGAAAAAAACAGTGTGAAAAAGGTAAAACCATCAAAGACCAGAACACCTCCTCTCCTTGAAGGGATCACAACTCCTCAACAACACAGGATCGCAACTTGACTGAGAAGGAGTGTGAAGAATTGACGGAAACATGATTCAGAAGGTGGATAACAACAAACTTTTCAGAGCTAAAACAACACATTCTAACCCAATGCAAAGAAACCAAAAACCTTGAAAAAAGATTAGACGACATGCTAACTAGAATAACAAGCTTAGAGAAGAACATAAACGACTTGATGGCGTTGAAGAACACAGCACGAGAACTACGTGAAGCAAACACAAGTTTCAATAGCCTAATCGATCAAGCAGAAGAAAGGATATCAGAGATTGAAAATCAACTCAATTAAATAATAAAAGAAGGCAATAAAAGAGAAAAAAGAGTGAAAGAAATGAACAAAGCCTCCAAGAAATATGGGATTATGTGAAAAAACCTAATCTACACTTGATCGGTGTACCTGAATATGATGGGGAGAATGAATTCAAGCTGGAAAACACACTCCAGGATATTATCCAGGAAACCTTCCCAAGCCTAGCAAGGCAGCCCAAATTTCAAATTCAAGAAATACAGAGAACTCCACAAAGATATTCCTCAAGAAGAGCAACCCCAAGGCACATAATCATAAGATTCACCAGGGTCAAAATGAATGAAAAAATGCTAAGGGCAGCCAGTGAGAAAGGTCACAGAGGGAAGCCAATCAGACTCACAGCAGATCTCTTGGCAGAAACTCTACAAACCAACATCCTTAAAGAAAAGAACTTTCAACCCAGAATCTCATATACAGCCAAACTAAGCTTCGTAAGTGAAGGAGAAATAAAATCCTTTATGGATAAGCAATTATTGAGAGATTTTGTCACCACCAGACCTGCCCTACAAGAGCTCCTGAAAGAAACACTAAGCACAGAAAGGAACAAGTACCAGTCACTGCAACAGCAAACCAGTTGGCAAAGACCAAAAATGCAATGAAGAAAATGTCAACTAATGAGAAAGAAAACCAGTCAGTAACAAAATGGCAGGATCAAATTCACACTTAACAATATTAACATTGAATGTAAGGGGCCTAAACGCCCCAATCAAAAGACACAGACTGGCAAACTGGATAAAAAGTCAGAACCCATCGGTGTGCTGTATTCAGGAAACCCATCTCACACACAAAGACACACACAGACTCAAAATAAAGGGATGGAAGAAGATTTACCAAGCAAATGGAGAACAAAAAAAAAAAGCAGGGGTTGCAATCCTAGTCTCTAATAAAATGGACTTCAAACCAACAAAGATCAAAAGAGACAAAGAAGGACATTACATAATGGTAAAAGGATCAATCCCACAGGAAGAGCTAACTATCCTAAATATATACGCCCCAACACAGGAGCACCCAAATACATAAAGCAATTCCTTAAAGACCTAAAATGAGATTTAGACTCCCACACAGTAATAGTGGGAGACTTCAATACTCCAATGTCAATATTAGACAGATCAATGAGACAGAAAATGAATAAGTATATCCAGGACTTGAATGCAGAGCTGGACCAAGCAGATCTAATAGACATATACAGAACACTCTACCCCAAATCCATAGAATATACATTTTTCTCAGCAACACATTGCACTTACTCTAAAATTGACTACATGATTGGAAGCAAATCACTCCTCAGCAAATGTAAAAGAACAGAAATCATAACAGTCTATCAGACCACAGTGCAATCAGACTAGAACTCAGGATCAAGAAACACACGCAAACTTGCACAACCACTTGGAAACTGAACAACTTGCTTATGAATGTTGACTGGATAAACAATGAAATGAAGGCAGAAATAAAGAAGTTCT